TTACATAAATTGTATAATTTGTTACAAAAAGTTAGTTGCCTATCAAAATAAATGTGTGTGCATCTCCACTAAAAAAAAACTCATTATATTAGAGAAACTCAAGTTTAGTTTGTATATGAAAATTTGTGAGTTTCAGAAAAAGACTGTACTACGCCACCGGATTCTAGGTAAAAAATCCTGTCCAGACTAGTTTCTTTTTTTAGAAAAGTTAATGTTAAATGAATTACAAGGGATGTTTAAAAATGCAACATTTTCAAAATGACATTTCTGCTTGTGTGATCTTATGTTTCACAAAAAAGCAGCGTTCGGTCAACATCGCGCTAGCTAGATTATTAAATAACGGAAATAAGCCGTGGTGCCAAAAATGGCACACACTGTATATAGATATCGCAAAGTACTTTCAACTTCCAACACTAATGAAACATTTTTTGTAACTTTGAAGTATTGGATTAAGGGATACTAGTATTTTGACTTGTGACACGGACATGGGATTGGGAAAATCGTGTGATGTATTTACTTGAATAACATATGTCACAGCTTCTGAACACAGAAGATTTTTTAAGTTTCGATAAGATGTCGCAAGTACCCATCCGAACGAAACCAGATATAAAAATGGCAAAAACTGAACAGCCAGTATAAAACTTGAGACTTGAAAACCAGTCGTTTCCCTTTTTAGAGGTAAAACAGAATTTTAAATGTAGAAGGAATAAAAGTGGTTTAAGTCAAAGAATTGTTTATCCCATAAACCAAATAAATTCAAAAACATTCTCGAGTTTTAGAAAACTTCCTATTTAGCCAGTTTAAACGCAAATTTGATAATCACCACCAACACCAATGCGGTAACTGACCAAGACACATTCATAAAATATTGAATCTATATAAAAAGGAGGATTTTCGAGTATTTAACAAATTAGCTGAAACTTTCAATGCCGATTCTTGTCGCACAAATTGTGATCTGTTATTGCTTGGAAAACCATTGTTGCTTTTCGTCAATCTTTTCCACATAATGCCAAAGTTGAGCAAAAACAAATAGTGATTCATTAGTGTTGAAAAAATCTGACGGAAATCATCCACGTTTCTATATCTTTTGCGCATATGACTAGTTTATAGGTTGCCAGAAAATGTCGATAATGGTAAAACAGTACATGACAGTGAAGAATTAGAATTGATTAATGTCCTTGTAGCTCTGATTTGACTTGACCAAACTAACAACAAAAAAATTCTTACTAGCTATTGCTATAATTAATAGCGTTAAGCGTTTTTTGTTCTAGCGTCGTCGGAACATCTAAATCGTACATCTTTATTATGAACGATTGGACACAAATCTTCAAAGCGTTGCATATTCTAATTTTGTAACTATAATTATGCAGGCCTGTGTACCCGGTGTACGGATTTATTTTATGTCCCATTTAGTGATACCAACTATGGCAATATATATTGTGGTCTAACTTTGAGTTAATAACATACCTAAATGAAATTTAGACCACAAATACATAGTCATAAAAGTTAAGTTATTACTTAAAATAATTTATTAATAACTCCAAACCCCGTTTTATTACTTTAAACACGATTACGTTTTTTTATGACAAATTGTTTAAAAAATTACATTTTTGCCCAAAACTGAAAAATATCCTCATGAAAAATGTTTACAACAAAACATTTGGTGCCGTTAGCGACGCTCCTGTTCGAAATAATAAAATTTTAATAGCAATAGGTAACTTTTATGAGCCAAAGGTATTTATGGTTGAAATTACATTTAAGTATCCTACCTTTCGGGATATAGCAAAAAATAATGTTTTTCGGAACCCCACATATAAAATTTCTATATAAATAATGCAAATTGAATTAGTTTTAGAGAACCTTGAAAAATTAGAAACTTTTCAAATATCCCATAAAACAGGCAAACTGGACACTCCAAAAGGATATTATTCGTAAGTTGCCAGTAAGATTCAAAGTTGTCGGGTCGCTCAGTCTGCAGCTAGTCACACGTTACGTTTTGCTACTATTTACCGTCTTGTTTCGGCAAAATTACCCAAACTATAGGCCCATCTCGCCTCCTACCAACGCTCTCGAAAATCGTTAAGAGGCTGGAGAAGAGCCACATGTTAATATGTTCGCTTCGGACCGGAATGGCAGTCAGTTTTTGCCGAAGAGTTGGTATTAATTCATTCAGATCATAAGAGTTTAGACAGCCAGATTCTAATTTTGTGGAGAAACGATGACCTGGAGGTAACACTTTTTCAGCGTTTCAAAAAATGTTAGCAAATTTGACGGTTCCTTAATTTAAATAAATTTTGAATTGAGGGTGATCGATTAGACTTCCTTTGGTAATTGATGGAGGTTAAACATCTTGTAAGATGAAATATTTATATGAAAATATAATTCTAAATGTGGTAATTTTTGTGTTTCATATATCCGTCAGTTACCATCTAATAATTCTGTGAAACAAGCCAATCAAAATCACATATAATATAAATATAAAATTTATGAAGGCGGTTTGTAGAACTGAACATATCTCAGATTTGTAATTTTAAATATTGCGAGGTAGTTCGAAGTCACATTCGAATGTTTAATAATTTTAATATGATCAATATTGGTGTTACGGATACAAATTATCGCAAGGTCTGCTCATGTAAGTCGGTATATCTAGCGCCCTCTATGAGCTGTATTAATACTTACAAATTCCGATTTCTCTCTAAAAAAAGACCACCGAATGTCAATTTTTATGTTGCTACCGTCAAAATTCTTATAATAATGGTTTCTGGTAAATTTGCTAATTTGTATAAAGCAATTTTGTCTTAATCGTGACATAATTACGTGTAGTATCTCCGGTTTCTGGATTTTCCTTTCGTAAGAAATAAGTTTCATGTATCAACTTTTAGTTTTTATTTATTTTGATAAATGGATTTTCATCAAGTAAATGCCACCTCAGTTCAAGTTTCATGTAGTTTTAATAATACAAGTTGTTGTAAATGTTTTCTCTTTTTAACTGGTTGTCAAATGTTTGATTACTTTGGTACATTTTCTTCCCTTGGAGGGTTATTTATAAAAATAGTAATAATAATCATAACTTCAAGAGAAGGTGCTGTTGCCGCCACAGAAAAAAATAAATTTGAAACAACCGCGATAAAAATATAAAAAGTGCGAGTTTTTAACTTTTTTAAGGAATTTCATACGTCCCCCAAATTTGAGGATACGACGTCATTGACAATTTTTTCTGATGATGATTTTATCTGATTTACCACCCATAACGTAAGGAATCATCGTCAGAATGCGCTCAATGAGGTCAAAACTGATCTAGTTTTCAAGAAACTCCTCATATTTCCAGTCAATAGCCAAATAGCCCATAAAAATTAATCATAATTTGGAAAAAACTATATCTTCTTGGTTAAATAAATGCGTATTTTAATTAGGAATCGATATAAAGTAAATAATAAATACAAATACAAAATTAAATAAAATTCATTCATGAAATAGTTTTCAAATTATCACATTATTTAAAAAAGCAAGTTTTTTAATTTCAATATGCTTTAGTAAAATGTCTTTAAAATAATTAAATAATTGTATTCAAATTAAATAATTTTATTCAAAGTATTCTACCCATATCGAACTATTTTAAAATAATAGAGGAAAGGGGTATTTTTTTCTACTCCTTTCTGTAAAATACATAATTATACACCGATCTAGCGTGTGAAAAGTGTAATTTTACCACGTCAGTTTCGTTTCCCATGGATTTAAGTTTCTTTGGATATTCGCGAGATTTTAAGTCAGGAGTTTATTTGGCACTAGCGGAACGAGTGCTTAATAAACTAATATCATATTAATAGTATTAGACAGGAAGAAGGGTAAATATTGGAAAAGTTAAAATAAATCGCAAAGTCTTAAAAATAGGTATGACATACTTAATAGAAGTTGTAGATTTTTGTAAGATCTTTCAGAAAAAAAAATGGTATGCCACTTAAGAAAATACACATTCATTTATTTTGATCACCCTATAGCATCGAATTCAAATTCCATTGCATGCATCTTCGAATAATGCTAATATCTCTTTAAAAATATTGGCACTATCGTAATTATTTTGCAAGTGTGAGAACTAGTATCTTTTTTAGAAAAATTATAATATTGGAAGAACTATTAGGTATTCAAAATAAAATTTAAAAATGGGGCGTTCCTTTAAAAAATATATGTTTTATTCTTCACGTAATTTACTTAAACTTTTGTATTTACCATTTCCTTACAATTTTTGAAACCAGTTAGATAAATGAGCAAAGATGGCACTCAACTTGTGCCATCTTTGCTCATTTTGTACAGAATCTGTATTAATATGTAATTCTGTATTAAATCCTGAACATTATTCGTGAAATTATTCTAAACTTTTCTCATAAATCCAATGTAGTAAAGAACAAAATAGTGTCGGAATATTACTTTTATTTCATGAAGCAGAGATATTTTAGTTTACCTGCCATTGAAGAAAAAGGGAGTGGAAAAGGAATAATTATTATTTTACGTCATTATTTTTATTATAGCTGTCAAGCCAGGGAAAATTCTACTTAATCTTGTAGGTAGGTGCTAATGGGTATGATCTTTTGGATAAAATACGTGTGTGGCCACAGCAACACACGTATTTTATGTCAAAATATTTTTTTTTATTGTTAAAAAACTACGGAAATTCTTAATAAAATTAATTAAATTTAATTACTACTACTATTACTACAAATTGCTTACATCGTTGTGTATTACTGGTAATTTTCACCCCTGCAGAAAAAATAATTATATTTGGGTTAAGTGTTACTAATCGAATTTGGCGAACGAACGTATCTAAACCAATTGTTTTTACCTGACCGTAAGCAAATTTTCAGATATAATAATATCTGAAAGTAACAATATGCAGCATACGGCTGACCGGATTGTCGGCCGACTTGGCGCGAAAGTGACTCCCGCCAAAAATGGACTTTCACGCAACGTTTTTCATTCTCAAAAGTCAACGAATTCGGTTTAGTTGATTATCGCAAACCGATTGAAATATATCTCGCTTTGGCAAAGTGTTTCGGGAAGGTCGCTTGACTATATTTTTCAGGTGAAATTTATATATATTGTTTTGTTGGTTTTGATCGCCGGGTACTTTTTTTTCTATTTTTCGCGGCTAATTACCGCTTTCAAATTCCCATAGAATTTTTGGTAAGCAATATATAAACGCTTTGACCGCCTGCTTCAATTAAAAGTTCAGTTTTGAATTGAAACTATCGTTTTAACGCAAAAAATTAAATAAGGAAACTATCCCATTAAAAGCAAAAACTCAGGAAGTTCCTTTGCACATTTTTGTATAGAATATTTCAATATTTCTTCTTAAATTTATATAAAAATAGTCACAAAGTTTCATTATCTACAATTTCAGACAAAATTTTAGCATGACCCGGAAAGTCACTCTCAACAAATAAAATAATTCAAACTTCGGTTGCAGTTGATTGATTTGTTCATCTGTAATCTTTATTCAAGGAGTTTTATAAGCTTTTGTTTTTAAAATTCTTCTTTAATCTGAAATTAGCTAGGATTTTGAAGTGTTATACTCAAAAGGGTATAAAAATTGTTTTAATGTTTTTATATGATTGGCACAAATGTTCATCAAATGTGAAAAACCTAACCATTTATCGAATTCATTAAAATATTAAGTTGGATAAATATTTTTTACCATACGTAATAATCTTCTTCACATTCTCCGGTTGGCATTCTCAACGCATATTTTTATATTAAATGCTACTCTCAAAATGATTCTGTTTTAGTCCTTGATATTTATCAGAATATTACAAGCACTTCGAGTGTATACCGTAATGGTTTTTGCAATATACAATAATCAGAAACGCACAAATACGAAAATCAAACATAATAAAATACGAATAAAAATACAACGTTTTGTTAACAGAACAACAAAATAATTTTGCAAACCTAACGAGAGAGAACAATATATATATATATATATATATATATATATATATATATTTATTAGGATCCTGAAAAAATATTTCTGCAATATGCAAAGCTTTCCTACACCGTGTGTAATAGAATAATTTTCGATTTCTTTTTATTTATCAATCTCCAATATTTTGTCGAATTAGTTGTATGTATAACAAGAAAACAAAACAGCCGAACTCGCAGAACTGTTTAGCCCAAAGGCTTTGATCTCGATTATCGTGAAATCATGATAATAAGGTTCAAAAAAACATTGAATGGACGGATCAAAAATGTCTTTTTTTATTATCGATTTATTTGTTGGTCACGCCGCTTTCCTTGTTGAATATGGTTAACGATTGCGTAATTTTTATTTGGTGAATTAATTAATTATCTGTGAATTAACATTTTATTTGATGTATCGACTTTTCGCTTATAAAAGTGACGTCATTTTCAAATTATTAAAATTTCAAGTATTTTTAAGTGCAAGTTTGTAGTTTGTAAAGTGTGAGGGTCGCTTTAAAAAACTATATTAAAGTAGCGGGTAGAAAGGTGGATTTTACATAATCATAAGGGTACGGAAACAAAATATAGAATTATAAGTAGGTATCTGGAGAACTTATCCCTGGATCAATTTTAAATTTTATAAATAACAATGGTTTTTTACTGCCCGTACTACAAGGTGTAATGAACAGAATGTTTGACAACTTGCATTAACAACGGCAAAATTTGGTTATTTAGAAAATAATATATATCTTTAATAACTTTGTTTTCAGGTAATAAATAGTAGATACCGGATGCTTTAGATCTATGCATTAAAATAGAATAGAATAGAATACTTTGCCCTCGTCTCATTTATGTTAAATTATTGCTGTTTTCACTTCACTAGCAATATTGCAAATTTCTGTTGCCTGGTTATCGGTATACCACCTGTTTGGTCAGTTCGTGAGAGCCCTATAACTCTGTACCTAATTAGATTTTTTTTTAAAAGCCGTCGTAGATGATTGCTGTTACAATTTGGTTTCGCAAGCGTACATACCTCACGACGAAAAAAACGACACAGGCGGTAGCTTTATGTGTCTTGTTCCTTTACACTCTTATATGTTTCGAAACTTTCACCAGTTATCTGAAAATATCAGAAGCTATTATGCGCTCTTAACACGTTATACCGAAAGAAATAAATTTTACTAAATTGTATTAAAATTGGAGAACTGAATAATGTACTTTAATTATTATTGGTTTCTGGTTAATATTTAGTGTTTTGACTAGCAAATGCAGAAAATATAGAAAAACATATATCTAATTAGTAGCATTTTTTTAATAGGTCTTTATTAATGATGATGATAAAGCTATATTTTTTAAGGGGAGGATTATGTAATGACACAACACCATAGTTTTGCAGGCATTTATTTACAAAATATTATATATTACATAATAATAGTAAAAAGAACAATGAGAGTAATGATAAAAAATGCATAACAAAATACAAGCATGAATTCAGTAAGACTTTTTAAACAAACTCAAGTTGGTGTTAAATATATCCACGCCAGTCTCGCATTCAAGCTAGAGAAATTGGGGTCCTAGTTTCAGTACTGGTGATGTAGTTCTCGACAGTGAACTAGTTGCAATAAAATTTTAAGGCGCAGGTAATTTGATTACCTTGCGAGGGTATGAATAAATAGTTGCTGGAGTAGTTTTGGGCAGTGATTTAGTGGATATGAATGTTCATGAGGCAGTTAATTTGAATACATTGTGATAGTTGCTGTAGTAGTTGTGGACAGTCGCAATAAATGCATAAGGGACAGCTAATTTGAATGCATTGCGACGGTAGCAATAAATAGATAGCGACTACCAGGAGAAGCGTTGTTATTTCAAGCAGGGTGTAAATGGAAAAACAGTATATTCAACTGGGCTCCTTTTGTTGATTCTTTCGCATAGAAAATAGCAGAATGGATTTGAATGTATATATAGGGTGGGCCGTTTATAGGTTATAGGTTTATGCTGTATGTACAGAGTGTTTAATTTTTCTTGGGCTTATATCAACTTTCTTATTTTAAATGGAACGCCTGGTATTTTACTTCTTTTTTGAGACATATTTTGTGTATAATGTCCTATACCGAAGTCTAACCGTTTCTGACATTTTTAATTTTTTATGCCAAAAAGGATGTTTGCAAGACTTAAAATATCTGTCAATTTCTTCATTCGAAAGCATTTATTGTTTCACTTGAGTAAGTTTTGTTGTACACAAAGGGCTCGAATAAAGGATTTCATAATAAATTGCGATACATAATAATACAGGGTACGCGAAAAATAATATTAAAAATGAAATAAAAAAAATGCCTTTTTTTTTTAATGGAAACTACCTATTTTTATAATTTTGTCATATTTAGCATTAAAAGTTAAGGCAATTTTATATAAAGTTGTATATGCCTACTATTTTTATTTTTTGAAATATTTCCAGTTACACGTCTATGACGGCGCTTAAATAAAGCAAATGCTAGAACGCTGCTTGTGTATTATGTTTACCACAGAGGAAAAGATTGTTATGTTAGAAAGTTACATATCGTACAATAAAAACCGGACCCTGGCTTTTAGAGATTATATTAGAAAATTTGGAAAAACTTTGGAACTTTGAAATAGAAAAAACAGAAGTCTTCATATTTTAAATAATGAAGAGCAAATTAATATTTTGTTGTATTTTGCAGAGAAGATTTAACCCGAAACGCGTCTTTAGACCTAGATGTCTAAAGAACAACGATTTGAACGTGCCTTTAAATAAACAAATGGAAGTCCTATAAATTCTGTCCAATGAAGAAATTAGTGCAAGATCAGGTTAGATTTTTGCAACAATCTTATGGAGAGACACTTTTCAGAAAATATAATTGCTAATATTATTTGGAAAGATGAGTCTATATTTACAACCTGAACTAACATTTTTAATCGGAAAAATACCAATTACTGCAGAAACAAGAATAATGTAAAACATATGGAAGTTACAAGTTCAGGTGCAACTTCTGGCAAAGTATGGTGCTCCATTTGGAGGTTCAGATTAATAGGTCCAGTATTTTTTGATCAGAATGTAGATTACCAACGCTTCTTAGAGCTTTTAAATATTATCCATCTCTTTGTTGAAAACGAAGTGCCTGGAAGGGAACGACGAAATTTAATTTGGCAGCAGGATGGCGCACCTTATCACAGAAGTCAAGAAATAAGTACCTATTTAAATACACAAGGAGCAACGACTTAACTCCCCTAGATTTTTTTTCTATAGGGTACAGTTCAATATTTAGTTTAAAAACACAAACTGTCAACTGCCGAGGAAGTTAAACGTCGGATAAGAGAAGGTGTCTGTCAGAAATATCATTATGTATTTAAAAACCCTTTATACTGCTTTTATTGCTCAAAGGGCCGGACATACTGAACAACTGTTACAATAATTATTATCCTTTGTAAGCTATTAATTTTTTATTGATCGTTCAATAACAAAAAAAAATCACAAACGTTATCGCTTATCCTTGGTTTTATTTTGTATAAATAATGCATTTGGATATTTATGAGCGCATCGGCAATATTATGGTCAACTATGAAATGGTAAATCATAGTGGCAGCACTTCAGCCCTCGTTTTGTTCAAACGCCGTCATAACCGGACTAGGTATAGGACATTATACACATTTTGTATAGAATTTAAAAATGATGTAGTATACCAGGTGTTCCATTTAAAATAAGAAATTTGAGACTGGCAAACGAAAAATGAAACACCCTGTATATACAAAATTAAAATAAATTAAAGGTTTGTAATACCCCAATTGACTTTTGTATTTAACTTTTGGCTCCACCCCTTACAGTTTCTGAGATAAGGTAGTGTCCCAAGATAAAGCTAAGTTAATCGGAAAGAAAATGTCACCCATTTTTTGTAGTTTACTTAGAAATTTCGTTTTCTGGTAATAATACAAATGCCGTAAAAATTCTTGAGGAAGGGGAAAATTGGTGGTCATGTTATAGCTAAACAGTTGCAGTGAACAGCATAAAACCGTAGTTGCCTTTTAGATGACTCTCTATTGACTATGACTATTACCAGCTTGACAGCAGGATTTTTCAAAGAAATTTTTTGAATTATTTAAAGTAATTCC